CTAATACTTACCAGAAGCAAGATATAGCCTGGTACATTTTTATCTATATCCTGTATATATATACACAGATTAATATGAAACAAACACTGTTGATCATAAAACTAATCACTAATATTTATTTTGAATACTGTGTAAATATTTTAATGGTATATTATATATCAGATAAATCATATAATTTTACAGTCTTTTTAAAATTATACAGAAAAAGGTCATGCTCTTCATTAGAAAAGCATTCTTCTACTGAAGAACATGTCCTCTTACATCATCTACGTGTATCAGTATTGACTATATCTTCTGAGTATATAATATTCATAAACATATATTTGAAATTCTGTGTTTTTAATATACAGCATCTTTGTTAAACATGTAAATTTAATATTAACAGGTCAGGCACTAAATACAGAGGATGGATCTACCTTACATAAAATGTTAAAATCATTTAAGAAAATGTTACTAACATATGTAAAAGGGTATGATTTGAAGAAGATTGCTGTGACAACAGTTCTTTTAGAAGGAAGCAAGATGGTAAATTATAGTTTAATATTTCTGATATATTTTCAAATACTATATATTACCCTTACACACAACACAGTTATGCATCATTGTTTTTTAAGGCTAACAATTTCTATAATTAAACATATAAATTCTGGAATTTATCTGTATATTAAACTGATTGTGCCAAATATAATTGCAATATTCTGATGACTAGCAATGAATTCATTTATAAAGGAATCAAACACTTATCTCACTAACCCACTAGAACATTAATTTTTTTTAAATTTTAAACAAGAAACTCACATATAATCCCTTCAGTCAATAAGTTCTGAGACAGATGTTACAAGAAAATAATTATTTATTGGAAGAAAAGAGAGTTAGGATACGTCCTACATGGCAGCATCCAGCAACTGCAAGTGGAAAGAATCTTTGTATGCGCTTCCAACTCATGAGCAACCTCTGTCCAGAGTGGACATGTATTGTTTACAAGGTGGCGGCGAGACAATTTCATCACATGATTGCCTTGGAAAACATTTTTCTACAAAACTCTTCTGCACTTTTTTATTGTGTTACCAAAATGTCTTGTAGGCAAAAGACTCATAACATTTCTTATAAATATTATGAGTTCCGTGAATTTCATTATTTGTATTGTGAAATAAAAGACGATCCAGCAAAGTTTTTTGAATATTGCAGAATGCTGCATGCAACTTTCAATTACATCCTACAAAGTATTCATCCCTAAATTGTGAAGGCTACTATGAATTTCCAGAAACCTATATCACTTGAAGAGAGGCTTTTTGCTATGCTATGCTAAGGTAAAGTACTGAATTTCTCTTAATTTAATTACCCTCTTTGACTTTGGTCTCATTTTCATGACTTTGAGTATCACTTGAGTCCTAGAAAAAGTTTTCAAATTGAAGGTACTCAAATGTGACAAGAATTGCTGATTTTCCTTCAATTGGCAATTTCATGACCATTTTTCTAGTACAATTAAAAAAAAATGTTATAAAAAGATTGTTATTGAAAATATAGTGTTGCAATGGTTTCATTTGAAAGATAATGATATCACTAACTAGATACACAGTAAATAAAAAGAATCTTCATAGAATATGTTTAAAAAATGTTTTATTTTCAAAATGTCAATTAATAATTTTATCAATATAACTTGTGTACATATATTGTATATAATTTATCTTGCTTTATTCATCCATGTTTGATTCAATGTCTTTTAACTGGTCAAGAATAAAATTTTGAATTTGTGATCTCAGTGAGTTTTTTAATAGGTGATGACAATTTCATGTAAGATATTAAAGATTTAAAAAAGTTCAAATCATCATCGTCATTCTCCTCATCTGCCTTTTTTAACCATTCAATTTTCTGCTTTTCTATCTCTAACATTTCTTTTTGAAAGTTGAATTTATCTGTCTTTCTTTTTCGTTTTGTTTGGTACAGATGGGCATGATCCAGATGACAAAGTTGGTTTCATTTGTATCTACAATACATGTGTTTGTCTCATCGTTTTCTAGGTGCCAAATTGCAGGCTCTTCAATATAATAATTTTAACTTCATTATCAATGGTGATTTCTGGATTACTTGTTGATATGGAACTCAGATCTACTAGCAGTAACCTAACATCTCTCAAAAATTCAAAGGAACTAAAATGAATCTACTTTGTTCCTTTTGCTGGAGCTGCATCTCCTGATCTGGTCTTCTGAATTTTTTTTAGCTCCTTTCGGAAACTATCTCAAAGGCTTTTCCATTTTGATTTTGCCAGTTCCTCTGAAATTGAAAGGGAACATAAAAGTAGTAATGATTACCTCAATTCAAATGGTAAAATGTGTGGGAATCCAGGTCACTCGTAACCGTGGTCAGCTTCAGATCCACCCACTATCAGTGGATGGGTTTGCAAAATAGCTTCTTTGTTTGTTTTTGGTTTATAGGAAGTTGTAGAACCTTCCTGACCAGCCACATTAAAATTTGGTGAGAACTGCCCGGAATGATTGGAAATCACCCCTTTTATATGCAAATTCCTCCAATCATTACTTTAGAAGTGGATCATCTGATGGGACAAACTGATGTGTCAACTGACAAGATGGTGTGAAAAAATCAAGATAAGGTGCAGTTAAAGGAAGCTCAATTTCCCTTTTTGCCATAAAAGTAAAAAGTCAGTTTTTGACAAGTTGTTGTCTCATCTTTATATCTTTTATTACATTGACTTAACAAAAATATTAATAAATTTTAATATTTCTGTAAAGGATCTCAGTTTAAATTATAGTTGTGGGATTATGTAGGTATCAGTAATGGGTATTATAAAAATAGATGGCCTGTTCAGATCTTCACAAATGTATATATTTAGAAACCATATAAATCACATTAACTGCACAGGAAAATAATGAAATTGATGATTAAAGCTGATTGATGTGATTACATGTGCAGTGTAAGACTTATTGTTAAACTTTCTTTACTTACTGAATATTTATATCTCTCTGTGCATGCATGTGTAAATAAATCAAAGAATACTAAATGAAAATAAAATATACTAAACTCAAGAACACTATTTTACATAATTACTCTTCTTTCTTTTTCCAGATATCTTCAATAAGAATTTCTTTTAGTCAGCTAGCATTTTCCATGAGAATTGGTAAATCAAGTATTGCAAGTATTGTCAAGGAAGCCCTTTGGTCAGGTCTTCAATCAAAACACATGGCCTATACTGACAAAGGAACATATGACAGAAAAGGCTGAATAATTTTACAAAAAATGGAACTTTCCTAACTGTGTGGGTTCCATAGATGGAAAATAAATTTAGAATCAAGTAAATTGGAACTGCCATCAAATACGACATTGCCCCAATCTAACATAATAGCCCCATATGTTTTAATTGGCGATGAGGCTTATCCTCTTATTCCATACTTATTGAAGCCCTAAAGTAGATCCCTGGATAAGAGTAAAAGAATATTTAATTATAGACTGTCAAGAGCAAGAAGAGTAGTTGAATGTGCTTTTGGCATCTGCATGTGCTTTTGGAGAATTTTAAATAAATCTATTGAAACTATGTAAAAAATGCTATAAATATTGTAAAGGCTGAACTCTGCTACACAATGTGATAATAGATATTGAAGGTTTCAGGGAATCTCATAGAGACAGATTTTAGCAAAAGTAAATACAACAATTTGACAAAAGCAAATAATGCAGCATCATTTTCAGCAATAGTTAAAATATTGGCAAAACTTCTCTCTTATAACAACCAAAATGGTTCTGTTCCATGGCAAGAGCAAGCTGTTAATGGTGTGTAATATAATTTAAACAGTGTTCTTTGAATTTTGGATGTACCACTGATGTACATATCATATATTACTAAAATATACAGTATATATATTACATTAAGCATCAACAAATCTGGACATTGTTCAGTTATGATCAATGTTATTGCATTTTTAGTTTGTGTATGATACTGGCTACATGTTCTCTTTCTATGCGATTATGATCTAGTTATCACAAATTATTTTATTGTAACAGTTTATGTATACTGAAATTTCTACCTTCCAAATATATTTTTTCAGTATTTTATATATAATGTTCTATATCTCAACCCCATTAAATCTGACCACGTGGTTTGTATATGATTCGTATCAAAAAGTAATAAAAAAAGAAATTACTTACTGCCTATATTAAGTCTTGTTGTAACATTATCCCACACCTTATCAACAAAGTCTCTGTTGTGGTACTCCTTAAGTTTTTAATTCCATAAAATTTCTTTGGAATATCTCCAATATTAATGATTCAACAAAGTTGGCCATTTTCTTGTTTGGAAGCACAAGCTGTGGAAGCGACGATCAAACTGGCTTGGTAGCTGCTTCCTTCACATGCACGTAGAATCATCATCTGGTGGTTGCTACATGCTAAACGCAGTTACTTCTAACATGCACATTTGCTTGAACCAGTTTGTTTGCTCCACTTGGAAGCACGTTCATGCTTGCAGTCACTGGACACTGCCATGTAGGACATACCCTAATACAACACCACCTTTGAAATACTTCCCATCTGTATCTATGCACTTCTGCTAATAGCCATACCACTTCTGGAAGCAGTCAGCAAAGCCATTTTTTGCAACTACCTTGAGAGCTGCGGTTATTTGACCTCTGAACCGGTTGGATGTTGTGAAACATTTGACGCAAAATGTTGATGTGGAGATTCTGAAATGCCTTTATGATGCTATTCAACAAAAGTGACCAGGTTTCAAAAATTTGGTACCTACACCATGACAATGCACTATCACATCAATTTGTTTGGTCACAAAGTCCAGGAAAAATGTGTCCTTGTTCCCACAATTGCCCTTCTCTTCTGACTTAGCATCTGTAGACTTTTTTTCTCCTGGAACAGCTTTAAGATCAACATTTGAAGGTGGTATTTTGTAACTCTTCTCCAATAAATAATTTTTTACATCATCTTTCTCAGAACTTATTGAAAGTGTGTTAGCAAATAGAAACAAAAACCTGTAAAAAATATTTAAAGTATATCTGAATTGACTAAATAGTTATATAGGCATCATGCTTTGCACTTTAAGTATTAGAGATTTAATGAGAAATTTACAAACCATTTGCATATGACCTTGACCTAATTTTACTTTCCCAATTAATCTATCTAGAGTAGCTATTTCCAACTTATTTTAACTGAAAAACCCATAGCCTTGATAAAAAACAAAGGATCAAATGCATGCTTTCATTCTCTTACCACTAGACTCAATAGATTTTATTTTCCACAAATGTGAGATATGCATTCAGTGTGCAGGTCTCCTCTCTCAAAAATTATTAATATTCATAGTATTTGAATTCTATGTAAATAAAGTTTCTATTTTAAACTAACTAATAAATAAAATTTGAAGTTCTGCAACAAAACTGTCAGCATAACCCTAGGGTTCCATGGAACACAAGTTAGGACAAGAACACAGACATAGAGAAAAGAAAGTGTGGTGATTGGTCAAATTCTGTCTTCTCCCCTTTTTTTTCATTTCTGGGTTACTTGAACCATGTTGGATGTTGTGACGAGGTTGTCATACTCCAGGAGCATAAAAATGTATATTTTACAATTTTAAAAGCAACTTTTTTATGTCAACATGTATTTTGCATTATATCTCAGGACTGGATGAACCAAATATTTTGAAACTTGGCAGGGTTATTTCTACATGTGGGTTATTGATACTATAAAATATTGGTAATTAAAAGTCAAGAGATGGGAAGATAAAGAGGTGTCATATGTCTATGGTTGACAGACATTTCACTGAATGGATATTTAGCTGAATAGATATCTGATCAAACAGACATTTGGCAAAAAAGTAAATGATCAAACAAACACACATATAGGAAATTTTAATAATTTACTTATATAGGAGGAAAAAAACTACTTCAAGCACATTTAATTGAATATATTACAGACTTACAATAGAATAGGCAAAAAAATGGTGTTAAGATCTTACATCACAAGTATAACACACGTTTAGTTTTTAAATTTTTTACAATAAGATCAATGAAAATCTGAGTGTAAAAATAAATGATAATTGGCTTTATATTGTATTACAAATATAATAATAATAAAATGTATAGAATATATGTAGAATAAAATGATGCCAGATACAACCGTCTCATTTCAAAACTAAGAAAAGAGAGTCAGATTAAAAGTTGAGATAGTAACATTAGAAGTGGTATTGAGAAAATCATAGTAGTACCAGATATTAAACAAAATACTGATGTCTATCATTGAGAAATATGAGGAGTATTCTAAAATTGATTTTTTTGAAAACGTTTAAATATTTAAGAACATTTAATTAGTATATTTTCTGTAAAAAAAACTACAAGGATAGAATAATTTTATTGTATGTGCAATAAATTTTTTACATCATACAATAATAATATCCTTGTAGCTGCTTTATAAAACAAATTATAAATATGATATGAAGAAAAAATAATTAATAAACAACATTAAAAAGTGTCAAATGTTGATTTACTCAGAAATGTTTGGCAAAATGTTCAGGAGTTTTGTGTGTCATATCTTGAGTGACAATTTAATGAAAATTTTACTTGTGTTTAAAAAAAAAATCTCTAAATGCTAATAACATCTCTCTCTACTCAAAATTAAGCCTTTTACCTTTTTATATTTATTAATAATATGAGATTTTATTTTTAAAAATTTTTATAACATTTTTATAACTCAAAGTGAAAACTGTGTGTGTTTACACACAATTTTCACTTTGAGTTATTTTTTTAAACAGAGAAATTTAAGACACTAAGTTTATCATAATTAAAGATGATAACCAGAACTTAAAATGGAGTAATTAGTTATAGCTATAAAAGTGAAAGCTAAGAAAAACCATTTATAGTGTTTTTATCATATATAACAGTAATGGAGGATCTTTTACTGAAGGTGGATCAAAATTAAATTTGAAATTTAGTGATTCCAAATCACAGGTCAAATATTTAATTTCAGTGATAAAAAAATGCTTACAAATTTTACTTTAAGAAAAATAGCAATAAATTCCATATAAGTAAAAAGAAAATGATATGATTATAGGAACCAAGTATTTCATTTAATGCATAATCTACTTTATTTGATGACAACTTTTCTATATGAGATTCATTATTTGTGACTTTTAAGACTTTTTACAACTTTAGGGTCTCTCTTTCACACTATATATAAATATATTTGACACCTCATCTATTAAAATTTTGCATAATTTTTAAGTTTAACAATTTCAAAACATTCAATGTGGGTACCTTGAAAATGTCACTGGGTCTCACAATGACCTGCAGGTCACTGATAGAAATGTTTTCAAACTTTTGTATTCACAGACCAGTATTTTTTTTATTTCAATCTCTTGTAAACCAGTATATTTTCAAAACTAAATAATAATAATAATAATTATAAAACGGAGAGAATAGAAATAAAAAAATGTGTTTGAATTTCAAAGCTCAGTCATGTATTGAAATATAACTGATAGTGGCATTTCTAACAATTGTACTTTCATTCTGTTTAATTGTCACTCTTAATTATATCTACCTAACTGAAATCTCAAACAAAAAATTTATTTTTTTTAGGATGTACAAATGTTGTATTCACAATTAAATCAAATTGCTCGCAAATATGGGTAAGTTATATTATACAAGTTTATAAAAATGGGAATTTCTAATACATTTTCATTTATTTACTAAATTTACATTAATACATAAATACTAAAAAGTTGTAAACTATATAAATTAATGATATAAATTTTATGCTTTCTTACAGTGGAATTGCTGCAGGTGAAGAAAATGGCAAATTAGGTTACTTTCTAACATTTATTATAGCCTATCTCAGGGTATGTCTCTCTCATAAAATATATTTAATATATTGAAAAATTTGATAAATCATCCATTGATGGTTTATTTAAAATAATAAAAAATTATAAAAATAATATTGTATAAAATAGCTTTCTAATATAATTTATGAAATTGAAAATTTAAGAAACAATTCATGTTAAAATATTTTTCTTTATAAATTATAAAAAATTAACTTCATTAGACAAAGTAAGAAAAGCGAGTTTCAGCATGCAGTTCAAATTCAGTTTTTATACTTCTTTAGATACATTTATGTAAATATCAACAATGAAAATATATTTACATTTTTTTTATTTTATACATGGACAAAAGTAAAAAGTTTTTCTTTATGACTTTGTATATAATGTTTGTTTCATTTTAATTTTTCCTAACCTGAATAGGAATTGGCAAAATTCCAATCCAAAATGCATCATTTTTAATAAAGAGCAATTTTATCCATTATTCTCTGTTTTATTCAGATTAGATGATACTTCATTACATAATTAATATTAAGATCTACATTTATCATTTTTATTTTATTTTCTTCAGAAATAACTTAAAGTTGATAAAATAAAATTCATTATAAAAATTATTCTAGTATTATCACTTCTGTAGATAAGTTAATTGTTATTCATTTTTATATTTTTTTTAAGGATGAAGGACTAAAGTATGGAGTTTTTGGAGAATCCTTTGAAACATCTATATCATGGGATAGGTAAATAATAATGCTATTTTGCTTAAATGTAAATAATGAAGGTTATTTAACTTACTTTTTTAACTTTTAGAATTACTGACATGGTACAAAATGTAAAAGATCGAGTGATCAGAGATGCACAGTTTTATAATATGACATATATGCCACTAGTTAGTAGTCGTGTGACTCAATGTTACGAAACGGGTGCCTGTGTTTATTTTTATATTATATTTAATCAAGGGCGACTTGAAAATCCAGTTGAAATACACAAGTTATTAGAGGTAAGCATTTTTGTACATAAAAATTTCTTTATCTCTTTAGAGAATAACTTATTTGAATTTAAAGGATGGTGCCAGGGACGAAATATTGCAAATAGGAGGAAGCCTTTCACATCATCATGGAGGTAAAGTTAATTTTTTATTCTAATATTAAATTAATTAACTTATATTTTGTAAGCATATCAAACATTTATAACATTTGTAGTACATTTATATCAACTTATCTTTCAGTAATTTTTAAATGTTTATAAAATATAGTTTTATCTGAAATTAATCAAAAATTCTGGAATGAAGCTCATATTTAGAATAAATCCTATAAAAATAGACAAAAGCAGAACAAAAAAATTTCATAAGATCAACTTAATATTATGATCCAATATGTTAAACTGTTAAATTTACAGACATTATATCTGTATTCTGAGAAATGGCAAATCAGGACACAAAATCTATATGAATGAATGAAATCATGTCAGAGTAATTAGCAATCAAATGATATTCATTTTTATGATGTACAGAAAATGTTAACTGTTAAACTGTGAAAAGGTGAGTCTACATGGTGACACTTTAATGCCTAATCCATGTATATGTTATGGACAAAGTGATTAATCCGGCATTATGAATGATGACCAAATAGGGCGGGCAGTGTGATAAATATTGATTAATTTATCAAATTGACCAGTCATTATGAATACTGCTATTACCTAGTCGGGCAAAATGATGATAATAAGTTGAGGAGTGATCATCTGACATACGCTAGCCAATCGGCACGCTGAGTTGCATGTGCGTATCTTACAGCGTTTAGTACAGAATTTAAAACTTGATTTAAAAAACTCCACTTATTTCATTTAGAAATATTTATTTTTTGTAAATTATATCAAAGTACTATATTAATTAAACTAATATTAACGAAAAGTATTATTAACAATTTTTGGTATAAATTATATAAANTCTAATTTTCTTCCCCATTGTCTGTAATCAGACAATGAGAAGAAAAAAGAATTAGTATCTTCCTTCTATTCATTACAATTTTGATGGTTCTAATGAATAGAAGGAAATTTTAGGTCAGAATCATCTGTCTAAAATAATTAATTAATTTTAAAGGTATTTAGATAATAATATTATCAGATAAAAGATATTTCTTTGCCAAATTTCACTATATAACATTACTTTTAATATAGCTTTATATTAAATAAGAATAATGTGTTCGAACTATGTAATCTAAAAATTTAATCAATGAAGTGATAATTTAAAAAAACTAATCTCATTTCAAAGTATCATTTAAACTGCCACTGAAAAATTACTAGTACTTTGCAGTTGCAATTGCGCTAAATTAACCTACTGCGGAACTGGTGAGCGGTTATAAAATTTTACTATCAACAAAGATACCAAAGTGGGCCGTAGGTATAAAAAGGTTGACTATCCCTTCTATAAACAATTATGAAATCATGGATTTACATTTCAACAGAGAACAGTTTTGGTTTTGTTAACTTTCAGATGAATATTTTTAATGAGAGATGATATGTTCTATGACCATGGTAGAAGATATAACATTGATTGTGAAGATTAAATTGATTATATCCAATCATTGATGGTAATGTTACCAAATTCACAACTGAATATTAGATATGGCCAGATACTTTTTGATCAGATCTTGTATAAACATAATATGGTCTCCTCCCTGGCTTGCAAATACTTGCAAGCCAGGGAGGAGACTATGCTGTTATGTGATTTTGGGTCCTACTGCATGTATGTGAATTTTTGTGAGACTGTTCTACACTGCAGTCACTATCAGGCAGTCATGATGGTTGCAAGTTTATGCTATTATTGTTGGATTAGAGATTAAGAAAAAATGGCAGAACATGCTGAACAAAGAATTTGCATTCAATTTTGTCCAAAATTTGGTAACATGCAACCAGAGACAATTGAAAAAATAAAGAGTGGTACTTTCATTTCAAAGAAAGCATAACATCAGTTCAAATAAATGAATGTTCTGGTAGACTTTCAAGCAGAAACAACCAAGAAAGTGTGGTGGTTCAAGTTTTGGCAAAATTTATTCCAAAGATCCTCAATCCAAGTGCATGTTGCATTGCTTGTGCCAATGCTGATCCTGATGATCATGATCATAACCAGAAATGAGACCTGGGTCTATGAGTTCAACCCCAAGACAAAAGCGTGATCATCCCGATGGAAAATGTCAGGGTCTCCATAGCCAAAGAAAGCATGACAATCGTGCAGAAATGTGGTCATGTTGACTTTTTGAAATCCCAATAAATAAAAAATTGCATCCAACAGTGGAAGCATCACTGGAGGAAGTGTGTAAACCCAGAAGGTGCCTATTTTGAATGAGACTAATATTTAAACCTAAGAGAGAGTTATTTTTTTCTTGACCTCAGGTCGTACTTTTTTGATCATACCTTATATATAAACATCTTGAAACAAGCATCATATATATAACGTTTCAAGACGTAAATAATCATAATGAAGCCTATAATTTAGGTCTTAAGACCTATTCCACTGTTGCTCAAAATGTTTTTAATATGCTCTCCCCCCTTTTGATATCCAAAAGGAAATTTAGGTATCAGTACTCATCCAATAAATAATGGTCCATAGTTTTCCCAGTATTTTTAAAGTTGTTGAAAATCTAAAATCATAAAAAATTAATAAGTTATGTTTGATATTTCAGTTCTATTTTAATGTTCTACGGTTAATAACAAATGTTATGTTAGATAACAAGGCTGCCTAACAACAATACAGTTGACCCCCCTATAAGACGGTAGATACGTTCCGTTTTTTTATGAAATTGATGTTTTAGGAGACCTTGCCAATCACAGCCCGACACGAGAATTTTATGGATTACGGCTGTTGAAAGGTTTTCTTCCATAAAATTAATCACTTCCTAGACTAATTCGACTCAACATTTCCAAAACACGTATAATTTTTTGGGAATAATCCGTATAAACTATGCTATAAACAAAAAATTGTAGGATTACTTACCAAATGTGCACCGTTCGACGTCGCCATTGCTCAAACTTGTTTTTGTCGTGGAGCAACGGACCAAACCGCAGCCGATTTCTCATAAGTTATTTTTCTGCGAAAACTTCGTTGAACTTTGGAGACATCATTAATATAAATAATTTTTATGGCCATTGAATAAGAAATGTTTCTTTCACAAGAAATGTGTAAAAGTACAGTACTGTATTAGACTTACGGTACCTAATTTACATACTGTACAGATGATAGTGAACAACTTACTCGCCTAAACTCTCCGTAGTGTGGCACTGGACGGCGGAAAGTATATANTGTATCACCAACATTAGCTGCTGTGTATTTGGAATTTGATGTATTAATCATTTTTTCTGCTTGCATTTTAAGATTAAACAAAGCCCTTGTTTTAGACACACTTCTTATTTTTTCTTCTAATTTTGGATCAATTGTGTGGATTGTTTCTTATTCATTCACCAATTCTGTAATACTAATAACATCCTGATTTAGATTTTTCTTAGGAACATTCTTTTTTTCTGACAGATTTCACACAAGTTCAAATAAATTATGATCATCTCTCTTGTAATATTTTTATATTTCGTACTTAATTCTTTTTTCATGCGGTTTCTACCGTCATGTCTAATAGCAATATGGGCATCGTGCAATATCTGAAATATTTCTTCCGTGTGAACGTAATATTTAATCGCATTGCCTTCTTTTACAGGCATAATTAATTTTTCTAAATTTCTGATAGATACAACGTCATATCTATGTAAATGCTGATATTCTTCCGGTAACTTAGAAGTAACTTTCATTTTTGACTCACTTTTTGTATCATTGACAAATATGCTGATTTTGTAAAAATTTGATTGTTGCACCTTTTTCTGCTATTAACTCGTTTAATCGGTTGTTGAAGCGATTATTCATAACACTTAATGATTCCTCCATGATCATTACTTTTGTCAAAGAAGAAAGATTAACTACTAATCACATAAATTTAAAATTCGGTAGTAAATGCAATACACATGAGCAAGTAAGATGCAAGTTCTGATTGGCTAACGTATGTCGGATGATCACTCCTCATCGTATTATTATCACTTTGCCCGACTAGATGGTAGCAGTATTCATAATGACCGGTCAATTTGATAAATTATTGAAATTTATTACAATGCCCGATTTTGTTGGTCATTATTTATAATGCCCGTATTAATCACTTTGTCCATAACATATACACTGAAGTATCATGTTTTAGATGGTGCCTAAACTTTTCTCTACCAGGACTTCTGGGTAATGGAGTTTTTTTTAACAATCAGTTTATCAGATATCTAATACTGTCCTTCAGCTATGACATCATATTATATATAGTCTAAATTAATATTCACAAGTCTAGAAATTCCAGTAGACTTCGTGTGTTCTATGATAAAAAATGTTTGACAACAAAAGAGGCCACATTGAACATTTGTAATGTTGTTCAAGTGACTTATATTGCAAAAGGCTACATAGTAGCAATTTTTTGTACTAAAGTTTTTCCAATAAATGACAAGCACATCGTTTGAACTACATGCTGTTTAAATTTCATTCCATTCCGAGCCTTACAACATGCTGCAGAAGCCTTTAAGTAGAGGAACTTTATTCATAATAATACAGAATTGTAAAAAGTTATATAATTGCAACACCTTTTTTTAACTTAAAAATAATTTAGCATAATAAATTCAAGATTCTAATGATTCCATGGGTGTTTTCAAAAATGCATATAAAAAATGTAATAACTAAATTTCTTAAAGATTAATAAATGTTTCCAATTTTCATAGAATAAAGCAAAAATTATTTTTAATCTAATAAATTGTAAATATAACAAGCAAATATTTATTGTGACACCACCACAACGCTGGCTACAAATTTTAACCATATTTTTAATTTAAACTATATGCTCTCTACCTCATACTTTTCCTGTTAGCTAGATGATCAGCATGACACTGTTGCTAACTCCTTTCAAGGGAAAATTTTTCAATTGAAATAACATGACTTCTGGTTTGCATCAGAAGTTCATACTACGTATCTAACTCCATTCTCGAAATTAAGGAAGGACAGACAGATGGACAGCAGTGGGAATTTATAGGTCTGCAATTTGAAAAAATTGCAGCTTAATGAATCAAATGATAACTTGAAATATTTTTGTTAGTAAATAAACTGTAGAATGTAGAACTAATGCAGAAAGAAGTGGAACAACTAAAAGTACTATTGAACCAGTTCATTTGATAATCCTTGTCTAATCTAAATTAAAATTATTTCATATATTACTGTTTTATTCAATGCAATAAGTACAGCATGAAAACTATTATATATTTATTTATTTATTTGAAAACTCCATACATAAAATTAATTTTTAGGAGGAGGGGTAACATTAATAACTTTGGTCAATAAATTATATTTACACCATATAAATGCTGCTGAGTCGCTAATGGAGAATAATCCATGAATTCTATCTGCTGGATTTTTGCAAACAACATTATTAGTACAAAAAACATTATTAGGAAGTGTTGATAGATGCAAATATTCAAATTCCTTACAGTCAAACATGTAGTGATTTAAAGTCACATTTCCTTTCTTACAAAACGGACACATTTCCAGTGAACATAGATCAATACACAAGTCAATACACAAGTGTTTCCATGTTAAACGAAACTTATTTAGACGAATCTGTATTATTTTTTTAACAATAAATGGAAGCTGCTGATAATAAATGTAAAAGCACCAGTTGTTGTCTAATATTTCTGGGTACCATAAATGGTACTTAGCCTTAAGAATCCTGTCCCCTTCTTCTCTCAAGAAAAGATTATCAAACTCTTGTAAAATTGTATTTGTGTAATATTTCAAAACATCTGGAGAGGAATTTATCAAGGAGAGTGAGATACCTATTCTATTAAATAGATTCTCCAGTTTAGTAAACCAACAGAATTTGAGCGATCTTTTCAATGAAAACTTCTTCAAAGTAGAATAAGTCTCACATTCCAAGGATGATGGGTCAGAGATTATGTTTCTCAGAAAATTTAAGGTTAATTTAACAAAGCGTTTCCGGGGAAACTCAAGGCCCAATTCAGATCGACCTGTCAAGACCAAAAAGACGACGAAAGAACATCAGTTCTATAGAGTCGATACCCTCAAAACAAAAAGGCAGACCATAAGACCAACTCAAAGTAAAAAAGAGAGGCGGCAAGTTTCTTACACAAAGCCATGACTGTTTTTAACCCTTCTCAAGATTTCTATTATAACATTTATTTTGGAAAATGCTTTGCCTTTAACATAAGAAATGTAATTTTGGAACGAGCCAGTAGCTGAGAGACGAATCCCCAAATATATAACTTCATTAACAATACTAACTCCTTTACCATTTAAGAAAAACTTATCAGCTTTTCTCAACCTTCCAACATGTCTAAAAATTATTATTTTTGATTTGGATAAATTAATACTCAAACCCAAATTAGAGGAATAATTATATAGCCTGTTCAATTTCCTTTGTAGATAAATCGGGGTGGTGGATAACACCACTGTATCTTCAGCAAATTGAAGTAAATGGACTTCGTAGTCTCCCAGAGAAATGGAATCTTTACTTAAATCATCAAAACTTGTACCATGTCATTAACATAACAAATAAACAATATCGGACTTAAGGAATCACCCTGTGGTAAACCCTTTTCTAATGAAAAGGCATCTGTAGACCTGGCACTAGTGGAAATCCTTGCTTTCAATCCTGAAAATAAACATTGAATAATGTCAATAAACTTGCCAGAGATTCCAAGCATTTTTAATTTAAATAACAAAATCTTCAAAACAACACTGTTAAAGGCTTTCTCATAGTCAATGAACACTGCAAGTAAACATCTTTTCTTTGATAGTTGTCTACAAATAATGGAGTGGAGAATCAGAATATTGCTTAAAGTGCTCTTCCGAGGTTGGAAAGCAAATTGCACAGGTTGAATCAAATTCCTCTCTCTTAGCCAAATACCCAATATATTTACCAAAATAGAGGTAAATATCTTTCGAACTACAGGCAACAGTGATATTAGTCGAAAGTTAGTGGGATCATCTAGTGGACCTTTTTTTATGGATAACTTTTATCTTTACCTCTAACCACGATTTCAGAATTCTAGCAGTGTCTTAAACCCAATTAATAATTTGGCCAAGTAATGAACCAAAGTATCCTTAGAGTAAACAATTAAAGACGGTGAAACATTATCCATGCCAGGAGCTGAACGAATTCGCATCTTTTGAAGTGCTGTATTCACCTCTGTATCAGAGATAGAAAGATCTAAAATAGGATCAACAACAAAAGAAGCCATCGGTAGTGACAGAATCAGGGGTAAATTCAATGTATTTAAACTAAATAACTGTTGATAATAAATAAACCAGTCAGTCAAGGAAATCTCTTGGTCTAGTATGCACCTGACCCAACGAAAACGACCTATCTGATACCGAAAGGTCTTAGAGTCTCTAATCCCAGCCAACCGTAAAGCATAATTACAAAAATTTGGCCCTAATAAGTGAATTATATTGTCATTTTAAATTTAAAAAGGAAGCCAAATCAGCCTATTAGATCTGCGGAATTTGCCCAAGGCAACATTCCTTGCTCACTTCTGAATGTAACATGACCTATCAAACCAAGGGGGATGAATCCTCCTGTAAGGTTCAACACCTTCAATTAACACATTTAGTCTTCTTGCTATAGAGCATAGCTCGGATAAAATAATACCATAGAAATCATCAACAGACAGAATCAAAGTTTATATTCTGGAAACTCTGCGATATGGCATCTCCAAACAATTCTACTTTAGAATCATTTCAAACATAACGAGTCTTGGTGGGACAAAGCCCATCAACAAAGGAAAATCTGTTTCCGGTCGACAACTGTAATTCCACTGGAAAATGGTCCGAAGATGAGAGAGACCCAATAGACCCAACACGAAAGGATTCAACCTTACAAACCATATTTTGAGAAACAACAATAAAGTAACCGAGCTAACCACTTTTGACAAAAAAGTTAGCTCACCTGGGAAATCTCCCTTAGTACGACCGTTAAGGAGAATAAAATCATGTTCAATCAACCAACGCAGAAACTCTCCCGGCCGTGTCGACCTTTAAATCCTTTGACCATCTGACATCAAAAATATTGGGAGAGGCTACATTCAAATGTGAATCAATTCCTTCAACAATATGGATGTTCAAATCACCCATTATCACAATTCCATGGTAGTATGAAGACCAAGAGTTCAAAATAGAAGAAAACAAGTCTAAACGTAAGCCCTGCTGTCTCTGCAAACCAGCATATACCAACAACACCAGGATATTTCTAGATTCGAGAACTGAGTAAAGTGATAAGCCAATAACCATGAAATCAGGGTAAGTTTCCAATAATTCGAAGTGCCTCCTAACTTCATCAAAAAAGAACAAAATACCACCATGGGGTCTTCCCGGCCCCAATGGCTTTTCCACTGGAATCATAAAATACCTCCAGTTTACTGGAAGAAAATTAGCAAGAAAATCTCCATCCACTGAAACCATCCAGGTTTCAACAAGGGCTAAACAAATTAAACCTGGTCATTTAATCATATAATCCAACAGACACACTTGGTGCTAAACCCGCAACGATTCCTAATAACTACTCGAACCAAACTGGTCCAGGCACGATGAAGTTGAAAGTCTCTCCAAACCAACTCTCCTGCAAAGAGGAAAATTCAAAATAAAAAAGAAACAGACACCTCTATTAAGCGATGGCCCGAGATAGAATACGTGAATCTCTTGTCATCTACATATAATACGTCATCGCGCAAAAAAACATGACAACCAGCTTCCTGGTATTCTTTTAAAAAATTAACCAGGTTTTTATGACGAACATGGGAATTAAACAACAGATCCGGTGCCAACCTAAATTTCACCGGTCTTTCCCTGCCCTCTTGTTGAGTTTTCGTCCGAAATTTTTGCAATAAATAATTTTGACATTTCCAGGACGACAACTGGATGCTATAGAATTCCCGAGCTTTACCTCTCAAACAGGAAACACCGACAATATTATGCCCCAACAGACCAGTCACATACAATTCCTTAGGAAATAAGTTAACAATATAATCCCATAAATCCAACTTGAGTGGAATACTATGATTAAACAACATTAAATTGCTTCTGTTTGAAGCATTAACTTGTCTATCATAGGCAAAGGAGTGTAACTCACCAATGTTGTCCAAAGGTAACTAATGTTGCTGTTCCAGTTTATCTAGTTGCGAACATACTTTAGAAAAATCAGTTTCCAATTTCCTTACCGAGGACAAGGTTAACTGGTTGGCCATTTCCAAACTGGTGAGCCTATCTTCGATCACTTCAACTGCCTCATTACTGCGTTTAAAGTCATCTCCAAATATTGCCGTAAAGTTAACAATTCTTCTCTATCTGAGTCCGGAGGAGATTGCCTCTTAAAATAATGTTCTAACTTTGGATATTTTACCCCCGGATCACTCTGTGAACGATGATGTTTAGTTCCCTTCCATTCTTCTTGGGTTTGCTTTAACGCTTCTGGAGGAGTACGTGGGAACATTTCCAAAAAAATAGAACTAATGACACAGAATAACACAGTTGAGCAAAAAAAAAGTACCAACTTAGGTAGCAAATAAATAAAAGATACAGCAATTTACAATAAAAAAAAGTGTTGACAAAATCTCCGACAAAAAATCACCAGCAGCCAAAATTACTCAACAGCGCCCCGTCAAAAACTATTATATACTACATACTAATAAAATAATCTGAGAAAATAATACATTTTCCTTTTTTCTTTTAATTCAATGGTATTAAAAAATTTATTTATTTATTCTCTCTTTACAGTTGGAAAGATAAGAAAAAAGTGGTTTGCTAACACATTAACAGAACCAGGAATAGGCATTTTAAAAGCCATTAAAGAATATATTGACCCAGAAAATATTTTTGCATGTGGAAATCTACTTTGAAATCTTAGTTTATTCACATGAATTTGTATGTTATATATAATTATGTAATTCAAGAGAAACATTTGTTTAACAAAATTTTGTTAAATTTTTCAAAACTAACAAAAATAATTTTAAGCAGATGTCATAAATATTTTAAATATTAATCATTGTTATAAATTTCAAGTATATTAAATCAACATTATAAATATATGTACAGTAGTCAATTTTTCTTCACATATTTAAAATTCAATTATATTTTTTCAATAAGTATATAAAAATTGAGATAAAGTAACACTTTAAAGTATATTTAAATATAGCAGTAAATAATAGAGAGAAGAGTACTTTTTTGTACTTTAAGGTTCTGGAAATAAAGGTGGATAATTTCAAATATTTTTCAACTTTAATTATGTAAAAATGGTAATTAAACCTCAAAAATAATTTGATAAGAAAGGCTTAAATCACTTGTCTTTATCTAAATAAAACTGAAAATTTTATCTGTAATTTTCTTCCCCATTGTCTGTAATCAGACAATGAGAAGAAAAAAGAATTAGTATCTTCCTTCTATTCATTACAATTTTGATGGTTCTAATGAATAGAAGGAAATTTTAGGTCAGAATCATCTGTCTAAAATAATTAATTAATTTTAAAGGTATTTAGATAATAATATTATCAGATAAAAGATATTTCTTTGCCAAATTTCACTATATAACATTACTTTTAATATAGCTTTATATTAAATAAGAATAATGTGTTCGAACTATGTAATCTAAAAATTTAATCAATGAAGTGATAATTTAAAAAAACTAATCTCATTTCAAAGTATCATTTAAACTGCCACTGAAAAATTACTAGTACTTTGCAGTTGCAATTGCGCTAAATTAACCTACTGCGGAACTGGTGAGCGGTTATAAAATTTTACTATCAACAAAGATACCAAAGTGGGCCGTAGGTATAAAAAGGTTGACTATCCCTTCTATAAACAATTATGAAATCATGGATTTACATTTCAACAGAGAACAGTTTTGGTTTTGTTAACTTTCAGATGAATATTTTTAATGAGAGATGATATGTTCTATGACCATGGTAGAAGATATAACATTGATTGTGAAGATTAAATTGATTATATCCAATCATTGATGGTAATGTTACCAAATTCACAACTGAATATTAGATATGGCCAGATACTTTTTGATCAGATCTTGTATAAACATAATATGGTCTCCTCCCTGGCTTGCAAATACTTGCAAGCCAGGGAGGAGACTATGCTGTTATGTGATTTTGGGTCCTACTGCATGTATGTGAATTTTTGTGAGACTGTTCTACACTGCAGTCACTATCAGGCAGTCATGATGGTTGCAAGTTTATGCTATTATTGTTGGATTAGAGATTAAGAAAAAATGGCAGAACATGCTGAACAAAGAATTTGCATTCAATTTTGTCCAAAATTTGGTAACATGCAACCAGAGACAATTGAAAAAATAAAGAGTGGTACTTTCATTTCAAAGAAAGCATAACATCAGTTCAAATAAATGAATGTTCTGGTAGACTTTCAAGCAGAAACAACCAAGAAAGTGTGGTGGTTCAAGTTTTGGCAAAATTTATTCCAAAGATCCTCAATCCAAGTGCATGTTGCATTGCTTGTGCCAATGCTGATCCTGATGATCATGATCATAACCAGAAATGAGACCTGGGTCTATGAGTTCAACCCCAAGACAAAAGCGTGATCATCCCGATGGAAAATGTCAGGGTCTCCATAGCCAAAGAAAGCATGACAATCGTGCAGAAATGTGGTCATGTTGACTTTTTGAAATCCCAATAAATAAAAAATTGCATCCAACAGTGGAAGCATCACTGGAGGAAGTGTGTAAACCCAGAAGGTGCCTATTTTGAATGAGACTAATGTTTAAACCTAAGAGAGAGTTATTTTTTTCTTGACCTCAGGTCGTACTTTTTTGATCATACCTTATATATAAACATCTTGAAACAAGCATCATATATATAACGTTTCAAGACGTAAATAATCATAATGAAGCCTATAATTTAGGTCTTAAGACCTATTCCACTGTTGCTCAAAATGTTTTTAATATGCTCTCCCCCCTTTTGATATCCAAAAGGAAATTTAGGTATCAGTACTCATCCAATAAATAATGGTCCATAGTTTTCCCAGTATTTTTAAAGTTGTTGAAAATCTAAAATCATAAAAAATTAATAAGTTATGTTTGATATTTCAGTTCTATTTTAATGTTCTACGGTTAATAACAAATGTTATGTTAGATAACAAGGCTGCCTAACAACAATACAGTTGACCCCCCTATAAGACGGTAGATACGTTCCGTTTTTTTATGAAATTGATGTTTTAGGAGACCTTGCCAATCACAGCCCGACACGAGAATTTTATGGATTACGGCTGTTTGAAAGGTTTTCTTCCATAAAATTAATCACTTCCTAGACTAATTCGACTCAACATTTCCAAAACACGTATAATTTTTTGGGAATAATCCGTATAAACTATGCTATAAACAAAAAATTGTAGGATTACTTACCAAATGTGCACCGTTCGACGTCGCCATTGCTCAAACTTGTTTTTGTCGTGGAGCAACGGACCAAACCGCAGCCGATTTCTCATAAGTTATTTTTCTGCGAAAACTTCGTTGAACTTTGGAGACATCATTAATATAAATAATTTTTATGGCCATTGAATAAGAAATGTTTCTTTCACAAGAAATGTGTAAAAGTACAGTACTGTATTAGACTTACGGTACCTAATTTACATACTGTACAGATGATAGTGAACAACTTACTCGCCTAAACTCTCCGTAGTGTGGCACTGGACGGCGGAAAGTATATATATAATTATAATAAAGTTACAATAAATTAATATATAATTATATATACAGTACCTAATTTATATATAATACCGTACAGACAATAGTAAACTCAATTTACCCGCCTAAATTCTCTGTAGTGTGGTGCTGGACAGCAGAAAGTAGTTCGGCTGCCCGATGACGTTTTACCGAATTATAGGAGTTTTTTACCAGGTTTGTACGGATACCGTCGCAATTTTTTCGCCGTCTTATAGGAATCATAATTATAGAAACCCGTGTTATAGGGGGTCTACTGTATATATCATTCCAGTGTGGAGTTACAGATGGCTGAGTGTCACATAAGACACTCAGCCATCTGTAATATGCCATCAGAAATATGAATAGATGTCCAATCAGCATAGTGATGGTTAATCAATATAGTTATTAAATTAAAATGTGTTTATAAAACTTTATTTATTGTAATCAAAATTTGGTTATAGTTTTCATTTTCTTCAAGTAAACAACTTTGTGATATTTGCCTCAACATATGGTTGATAATGTAGCAATCGTTAGCTGTCTTAACTACTGTTTTAAACATCAAACTTTAATTACATGAAGCACAATAGTTTAAATTGTTCACATTTATTACTTCAATTATATGACAGCTGCTATTAAAGTGGTACTGAAAAAACCAGCAGACAAACAATAATGCATGAAATAATTAAAATTAAAAATTTATAACTAAAATAATAAATTTTTAACATATCTTTTAATTTAAAATAAAATGAAAATATCTGCTTATTAAGGAAACTAAAATCAATCATTAATCTAGAAACATTTTCAGTCTTTATTGGGTCCCTTATTTTCAATTATTCCATTTTACAACTCAAATGTGTTCTATTTTCCAGTAACTGATGAAGGCCTAGTAAAGGCTAAAAATGTTTCTACATTAATAAATGGTTTTGGTTTCCTTAATTAATATACCGATATTTTAACTTTACATTTAAATATCTTCAAAATAAACAAAATGAAAAAACTTGGCACCCTATTCTTTAATGACATATTTAATAAAACCAAAATTTCTATTAATTATAGCCTTAATGTGTTTTCAATATCATCAGTCAGTTATCATTAGTACAGTTGAGTCCTAAAGTGATTATTTAATAAGCAGATTCTATCATGTATGTATAATTTAGATCAATGCTTAGAAGAAGAGATTAGAGGCCTGAGTAATGTAGCTGATAACATAGGAGAAATTCTTGACTGTGCAGAAAGGAGAAATTATAAATTAAATGAATTTAAAAAGAAAAATCTAAATACAAAAATTTCTAAGACAATTTTTTTATCAATATGATTCTTACATTTAAATTTATACAAAATACTTTAATAAAACAAAGTATTTACCACAAAATAATAAAAACTACAATATCTCTCCAATTTATTACATACAACACACAAACATAAATGGAAGTTTTCTTTGAGTTAATTTAACCTATAATAAAAAAAATTATGTAAATTGCATATTTTTTAAAATGAGTTGAAACTGTTTATTTTGAAATTACCTTGCATTTAATCAGATCCTGAAACAGACATTTCTTCTTCTGATGAAACAGATGAATTCATTTCTTTGTCTGATAGCTAAAGGAAAAATTATAGTTCAATGTTATTAAACAGAAAACTTATACTGTATATTAAAAATATCTAATTCATCTTAACTTTTGAGCATAAAACTTGAATGTTTAAGTAAAATAACTAAAATCAATTTGTAATATGAGACTAAAATAAAGGTTTTTTGACTATTTTCACACTTATAACCTGCAAAATATTAAAATTCAGAAATGGGCAGCACACTGATCACACTTTACTAGGAGAAACTTCTTAACATATAGGCGTTAAATTACAAATGAATGTCGCTAGATCGACAAGCGCTTTTGACGATAATTATTTTCGTTTTCATCAGGTCATTAAAAACAGTTAAAGTCCTCTTTTTGAATATGAATATCAAATTATTCCAATGGTATTAACGTTTTGGAACGAAAGCAACAGTAGAACATAAGAAAAAGAATTAAAATAAAAACACATGCAGTTATAATGCGCATGTGGTATAAGCCTCCAAACTGTGGAGCTAGATACATTGTCTTAGGCAGTTATACAAGTTAACCCACAAAGGAGGCAAATCAAGTAGTGTGGGGGTGTTGCATGGATTTAATATGTTTGGTTACCTCTTCCTCCATTGTGGTGAAGGCCCATATATCTTCTGTCCTAAACAACATTTCACAAAATGAGTATAGTTTCTACAAGTTGGATGTAGTTGCTCTTTATCCCTTGGTACTACGCTACTAATCAAGAAGGGCTTTACAGCGCAAGAAGTTTTAGAGTTACGCGAAGCTGTACTTTTTATTTCCAAAAATAATTATTTCCAGTTCAAGGGCAAAGTATATCTACATCAGCAAGGAGTCCCGATGGGCTCACCACTTTCAGCGGTTTTGGTGGAATTGATCATGAGGAATATTCAATTCAAGGTTTTTAGCTTTCCCCTCATGATAGCGTATCTGCTGTTATACCTTAGATACATTGATGTTATTCTAGTAGCTTGGCAGGATACCCATGGAGATTTCCTCGCCCTCAAAGATTTTCTCATGACCATTTATCCCACAATTAATTTTACCTGGGAAAAAGACAATGAAAGAGAAATTGCATTTTTGGATCTAAAAATTACTAAATTCTGGGATACTATACTGTATTCCGTATTCCACAAATTCAGCGGTGTTCCTCCCCTAATCCCTGCTACAGCATACCAACCGCAACATTACATCAATGCTGCAATTGCCCCTTTAATCAGAAGGGCCTTTCTGTTATCTTCCAGCCAAGCTGCTATTGATACTGAGCTTAATGCTATACGCTCTGCAGTAAATGAGGCAGGCTATACTAATGCCAAGTTTATGTACATCTTAAATAAGGTAAAAAGATTGCTTTTCCCACTACTACACTACATCTCCCAAAAGAATCCACAATAGTCCTTCCCGCACTACTGTTTTGTGGTCATGTCACTGTTCGTATTTGCTGTATTTTTAGGCGACATGCACTTTTTCTGCCAGTTTCTCCATGGCCAAGTCTTAGGAGGTTGCTATCCAATGACAGAGATCCTACTTCCATGCTAGAAAGATCTGGGGTTTATTCTATCCCACTGGAAAGTATGTCAGGTGGTCACACCCACTATATTGGCATGACAACCAGAATGTTGTCTTATTGTATTTAGGAACATCAGGGCAGGCAAGAGTGAAACTGAGCTCGGTAGAATGGTGTTGCAACACCAACACACCCCGTTGTGGGGCCAGGTGGTCATTCTAAGACGTTGTAATAACAGAAGCCTCATGTATATTTGGGAGGCCCTCCTTACCAACATATTAAATCCATGCAACACCCCCCACACTTGATTTGTCCCCTTTGTGAGTTAACTTGTATAACTGCCTAAGACAATGTATCTAGCGCCACAGTTTGGAGGCTTATAGCACATGCGCATTATAACCGCACGTGCTTTTATTTAAATTCTTTTTCTTTATGTTCTACCATTGCTTTTGTTCCAAAACGTTAATATCATTGGAATAATTTGATATTTATATTCAAAAAGAGGACTTTAACCATTTTTAACGACCTGATGAAGACGAAAGTAATTATCGTCAAAAGCACTTGTCAATCTAGCAACATTCATTTGTAATTTAACGCCTATATGTTAAGAAGTTTCTCCTGCAAAATATTGCTAAAACAAAATAAATATTTGACAATCTGCCTCACTATAAACCCCATGCCTGCACTGGCCAGATGGCTGAGTTGTTAACATGTCAGAAATCCACAATGGACTTCATTAAAAAGGCCATCTGATATTAGTGCTCACTGGGTGAGAAGAGTAAAAAAAAAATACCTGTGTTTATGAAGCAGCTGTGTTCTATAGGTATGAGTTCACAATTGCAATTTAAAATTAGCATATAGCCATCCAATTACATAACCCACACTTTTATACCTTGTCTTTTAACTTGGATAATACACATGAAAGTACAGTATTTATAATTTTACTGAACATGATTTCATACATACAAATATGTAAAATTATTATACCTTTTCTTTTTTTGGTTTCAAGGGTTTGTCATCATCGTCGTCATCGTCATCTTCACTCTCATTACTCGTTGATATATATTCTTTGCTTTTATATTGAGAATTAGGCTTTGTAGGAGATTTTGACACTTTGGAAGGTGATCGTTTTTCTTTTTGTTTTTTTGGGCTTTTCTTTTCACCTTTTTCTAATTTTTCTTCCTTCCTGTAGATATTATATTCATAAATATTATATATATNTAAATGCTAATAACATCTCTCTCTACTCAAAATTAAGCCTTTTACCTTTTTATATTTATTAATAATATGAGATTTTATTTTTAAAAATTTTTATAACATTTTTATAACTCAAAGTGAAAACTGTGTGTGTTTACACACAATTTTCACTTTGAGTTATTTTTTTAAACAGAGAAATTTAAGACACTAAGTTTATCATAATTAAAGATGATAACCAGAACTTAAAATGGAGTAATTAGTTATAGCTATAAAAGTGAAAGCTAAGAAAAACCATTTATAGTGTTTTTATCATATATAACAGTAATGGAGGATCTTTTACTGAAGGTGGATCAAAATTGAATTTGAAATTTAGTGATTCCAAATCACAGGTCAAATATTTAATTTCAGTGATAAAAAAATGCTTACAAATTTTACTTTAAGAAAAATAGCAATAAATTCCATATAAGTAAAAAGAAAATGATATGATTATAGGAACCAAGTATTTCATTTAATGCATAATCTACTTTATTTGATGACAACTTTTCTATATGAGATTCATTATTTGTGACTTTTAAGACTTTTTACAACTTTAGGGTCTCTCTTTCACACTATATATAAATATATTTGACACCTCATCTATTAAAATTTTGCATAATTTTTAAGTTTAACAATTTCAAAACATTCAATGTGGGTACCTTGAAAATGTCACTGGGTCTCACAATGACCTGCAGGTCACTGATAGAAATGTTTTCAAACTTTTGTATTCACAGACCAGTATTTTTTTTATTTCAATCTCTTGTAAACCAGTATATTTTCAAAACTAAATAATAATAATAATAATTATAAAACGGAGAGAATAGAAATAAAAAAATGTGTTTGAATTTCAAAGCTCAGTCATGTATTGAAATATAACTGATAGTGGCATTTCTAACAATTGTACTTTCATTCTGTTTAATTGTCACTCTTAATTATATCTACCTAACTGAAATCTCAAACAAAAAATTTATTTTTTTTAGGATGTACAAATGTTGTATTCACAATTAAATCAAATTGCTCGCAAATATGGGTAAGTTATATTATACAAGTTTATAAAAATGGGAATTTCTAATACATTTTCATTTATTTACTAAATTTACATTAATACATAAATACTAAAAAGTTGTAAACTATATAAATTAATGATATAAATTTTATGCTTTCTTACAGTGGAATTGCTGCAGGTGAAGAAAATGGCAAATTAGGTTACTTTCTAACATTTATTATAGCCTATCTCAGGGTATGTCTCTCTCATAAAATATATTTAATATATTGAAAAATTTGATAAATCATCCATTGATGGTTTATTTAAAATAATAAAAAATTATAAAAATAATATTGTATAAAATAGCTTTCTAATATAATTTATGAAATTGAAAATTTAAGAAACAATTCATGTTAAAATATTTTTCTTTATAAATTATAAAAAATTAACTTCATTAGACAAAGTAAGAAAAGCGAGTTTCAGCATGCAGTTCAAATTCAGTTTTTATACTTCTTTAGATACATTTATGTAAATATCAACAATGAAAATATATTTACATTTTTTTTATTTTATACATGGACAAAAGTAAAAAGTTTTTCTTTATGACTTTGTATATAATGTTTGTTTCATTTTAATTTTTCCTAACCTGAATAGGAATTGGCAAAATTCCAATCCAAAATGCATCATTTTTAATAAAGAGCAATTTTATCCATTATTCTCTGTTTTATTCAGATTAGATGATACTTCATTACATAATTAATATTAAGATCTACATTTATCATTTTTATTTTATTTTCTTCAGAAATAACTTAAAGTTGATAAAATAAAATTCATTATAAAAATTATTCTAGTATTATCACTTCTGTAGATAAGTTAATTGTTATTCATTTTTATATTTTTTTTAAGGATGAAGGACTAAAGTATGGAGTTTTTGGAGAATCCTTTGAAACATCTATATCATGGGATAGGTAAATAATAATGCTATTTTGCTTAAATGTAAATAATGAAGGTTATTTAACTTACTTTTTTAACTTTTAGAATTACTGACATGGTACAAAATGTAAAAGATCGAGTGATCAGAGATGCACAGTTTTATAATATGACATATATGCCACTAGTTAGTAGTCGTGTGACTCAATGTTACGAAACGGGTGCCTGTGTTTATTTTTATATTATATTTAATCAAGGGCGACTTGAAAATCCAGTTGAAATACACAAGTTATTAGAGGTAAGCATTTTTGTACATAAAAATTTCTTTATCTCTTTAGAGAATAACTTATTTGAATTTAAAGGATGGTGCCAGGGACGAAATATTGCAAATAGGAGGAAGCCTTTCACATCATCATGGAGGTAAAGTTAATTTTTTATTCTAATATTAAATTAATTAACTTATATTTTGTAAGCATATCAAACATTTATAACATTTGTAGTACATTTATATCAACTTATCTTTCAGTAATTTTTAAATGTTTATAAAATATAGTTTTATCTGAAATTAATCAAAAATTCTGGAATGAAGCTCATATTTAGAATAAATCCTATAAAAATAGACAAAAGCAGAACAAAAAAATTTCATAAGATCAACTTAATATTATGATCCAATATGTTAAACTGTTAAATTTACAGACATTATATCTGTATTCTGAGAAATGGCAAATCAGGACACAAAATCTATATGAATGAATGAAATCATGTCAGAGTAATTAGCAATCAAATGATATTCATTTTTATGATGTACAGAAAATGTTAACTGTTAAACTGTGAAAAGGTGAGTCTACATGGTGACACTTTAATGCCTAATCCATGTATATGTTATGGACAAAGTGATTAATCCGGCATTATGAATGATGACCAAATAGGGCGGGCAGTGTGATAAATATTGATTAATTTATCAAATTGACCAGTCATTATGAATACTGCTATTACCTAGTCGGGCAAAATGATGATAATAAGTTGAGGAGTGATCATCTGACATACGCTAGCCAATCGGCACGCTGAGTTGCATGTGCGTATCTTACAGCGTTTAGTACAGAATTTAAAACTTGATTTAAAAAACTCCACTTATTTCATTTAGAAATATTTATTTTTTGTAAATTATATCAAAGTACTATATTAATTAAACTAATATTAACGAAAAGTATTATTAACAATTTTTGGTATAAATTATATAAAAAATTAAATGTTTTTTAGTTTATTTATTTTAGCAATTAAGATTTTCATGACATTTGGAATTACTGTACATAATTTTTTTTCTTTGGTAGCATTNTATAAGAGTAATAATTTATATTATTAAGTTAAACTAATATACCGATTATTTTGAAAGAAAATTATTGTAAAAAATTAGGAGAGTTCAGAACAATTTCAGCAAATCATTAACAGGAATTTTTCTTGAAGTAATAAATAAATCTAAATTTAGAATTTTATTATGAAATTGAATTTTCTACTCAAATCAACAGATATGAAAACTTAGCAAGTAATACTCATTGCTGTTGTTATTTATAATTTAAACTAACTTAATAGAAACAGATTAGTTAACCAAATATGATAAAAATATAGATATGTCATTTGTAAAATAGATAACATTTCTATATTTTTGTATGTGTAAGTTTTGTTTTTTTGATATAAAATGATTAAATACTTTAAACTACTGTAAAAAGGAAGTTGAGATGCATTTCATGACAAAAATTCTAAAATGCATCCAAAGTCTACATTGTACAGTAAGATTCTATAGTCACAAAGTGTCTAAGTCTGGCTGTCGGTTTTACACGACCAACTATATTTAAAATAAAAATATTAATCGTTTTGTGTCATGAAAAACAAAAACTAAAATACATCAGCTATTTGAAAATCAAAATATAAGAATTTGTTTCAATCCTTTCTGATAAAATTAAAAATATATCTTTGGTATTTTCATTCTCCAAGTCTTTCACTTTCATAGCACTTTCAGCAATTTACATAATATATTTAATTTTTCATCACTAACGGAATTATTACTCTACAACACTATAGAAGTATTTTTTGTTAATTTTAGAAATTGTTAATAATCAATGAATCAACATTTTCTGTTGATGATATTTTCTAATTTTATATTATATTTTTTATATAACACAGATTCAACAAAAAAATTTAAATTTAACTGTAAATATATATATATATATTATATATAGAGAGAGAGAAAACATTTAAACATATTTGAAAATATTAACTATTTTCAAGTGACATTCAAAACTATATTTATTAAACTCACAGATTTATCAGAAACCTCTCTCCAAGCTTCTCCTGCCTTCTTTGTAAGTTCAGTAATTGTTATTTTTGGATTTTCTTGTTTGAGTGTTTTTCTGTTTTCATTTAACCATAATAAATATGCAGTTGGAGGTCGTTTAGGTCTATTTTCATCTTTAGGCTGCTTTTTACGTTTCTTCCTAGTTCCTGGTTCTTTCTAAAAGAAATATATGAATTTCTTAACTTTTTATTATTATATGAAATTAATATATATTAAATTAAGAACTTTTAAGTTGCTGGTTTCAATTTTTTAAAAATTATTATCTAATAATTAATCAAATAATGATTTATAAAATACAGTCATACCCCGACTTACGCGAACCCGGAGTTACGCGATTTTCAAATCTCGTTGATTCATCTTTTGTTTGAGTGCCACGCAACTCTTGATTATTCACTCCCCCCACACTATTGTCCAGCTTACATGTTCGGATGTGTCGCGCGGAATCGACGCATAGCTACAATTTATTTTGTGAAATTTATTTCTGTTTGTTATATCTACAGAGACTTGAGAGACTATGTGGTGATTTCTTGTAACCGTGAACGAACCAAATGGCAAGATAAGATGGCGAGAACATTTATTAGCTTACATACATCCTACTTGGATTTTACACAACGGCATCGGCAATTGTGAACAATTGACGAAAAAAGTATACATTTATCAGATAATAAACAAAGACTCATTTTGTAAACAATTTACCTTTTGTATATACAACTGACAAGATTACCTTTCAAATTATAAACAGACTCGATCCCAAGCGGTCTTTTGATCGTCGGACATACAAAAGAAATGAATAGATGGCGCCTAACTTAAGCGCGGTTTACAATAATGAATATGATTAATCTTAACACTCTACTATGTCATCCAAACGAAGTAGAACTGATTCTTCTGCATCAAACAAGAAAAGANACAACACAAAATCAAAAAAAAAAAAATTTAACTATTTTTAATTAGTAGAATAAGTTCTTTGCCTGTTTTTGAGGTGAGTGGAAAAATACGCCAACAGCCTCGGCAGACAGAAGCGCCCCGTTAATGTGAAAAATTGTATAATAATATAATTTGTTATACATATGTATTATCTAAGATTTTATTAAACATTTTTTCTAAATTATTGTTTTCTTTAGTCTCCGGTCCCAATTATAAATAATTTGTATGTATTTATATGCGAAATTATACCCCGACTTACGCGAATTCGACTTACGCGGTTATCGCTTGGTCCCACCTATCGCATAAGTCCGGGGTATGACTGTAATCTTTTCTCAGTGAATTTAATTTGTGCACTTAATGCAAAACTATAAATATAAACTTTAAATTAAAATATTAATTTTAATTTTTTAGTTATTTATTGATAAATGAAAAAGTTACATATTATATTATTATTCTTTCTTTATTGATTATTCATATATTATCAATCAAAATTTGTAACTATAAATCTGACATTCAAAAAAAAATATATAATATGTATATATGTATGTATATTTTCTATAAGTTTACATATTCATGTATCATAATAATATAAGATTTAGTCCAACTGCAATCTTGCACTAAGATTAATAAATAAGGATTTAAATTAGTTAATTTGAATTTTTTTTAAACTTAAAACAAAAAAATCAATACAAAGTAGAACTCAAATTCACTTCTGCTTACTAGATGCATCATGCTTTTGTATCTAGTAGCAGAATAACTGTTACCAATTATGCTACCTGGACTTCTGATTTCTACTTATACTATATTAATTGAAATCATGCTGTATAATCATATAGGTCATTTGACCTCTATGATTATATAGCATGATGTAAGTTACACAGGTCATCATGAGCTTGTATTCTGCCTGGAAATAAAGCAGGTTCTTTTTTCCTTACCAGACCTCTTTTGCCATTTAATATTGAACAAATGAAATACACAAGAGGTTTCTATATTAATAAAAAAGCAGTCTTTAAGACTATTTTTTTAAAAATAAAAACAATATTAATTTACAGGAGTAAGACCATTACAGTCCCTCAAGTTTTTGTCAGGCCTGGTGAAAAATTCCTAGCTCCCTTCCTCTCTCAATAGTCCTACCTAAATGACTAAATAATCTGTATATACTGTACACACCTTTATTGTCTACCTTTGGACCAAATCACATAATTCAACTTACTTAAAAATTAGCACAACTCTCAGCTGTAAGTCTCTGATTGATTGATTATTGAACTATAGTTTAGGTTTTTAGATATAAAATCTAAGTTATTGAGTTTTTAATTGTAATAGTTTTAAGTTTTGAGTACTTTATAAACTATAAAAATATAAATTATAAAATCAGAGTGGTCATTTAATCTTTGTTTTTAAGACTTTTTAGATATTTAAGTAATAAATGTGCAAACTTATTTTTAAACCAAAACTAGTTCTGTTTTAAATAAATATTTACCACTGTTTTAGCACTTTTACTCTTCTTTTCTTTAACTTTTTCTTTTGATTTCTTCTTTTCTTTATCTGATCCTGAACCACTACCTTCATCACTATCTGAGCTACTGGAAGCATCAGTGTCAAATCTGTTTAAAAAACATATAAAACAGATCATGAAATACAGAATGATTACATACACACTGAAAATTATAAAATAAATAATAAAACTGTCTTTTGGTATTATATTTAATGCTAACAAAATTATTAAAAGTACTTAAAAATTTTTGTCAACAATTAATCTAAAAACATAGTTTCTTCTTAGTTCTATAGTCTAAAAGTTATAAAAAAAATTAGTTTTACATGAAAGTTTGTTAAGTTACAGCTTTGATTATAATGATCCAGAAGCATTAAAAATTATAGCTATTTTAAAAAATTAAATGTTATGCTGTTTGTTGAATCTTTATTAACTTATTAACCTTTTTTATTACTTTGAACATAGACAAGCACAATAATAATGATTTTTTTTCTTTTTTTTTCGTAATTAATATATTTTTTCTATTTAAAATTCTTCTTCTTAAGCTATCTTTAAAATGAATAAAACTCAGCATCCATTATTAAATTTTACATACAAACATGCTTATTAAAAGAACCAATCTTAAGATCATTAAAATAAAATTTTCAACTTCATATAAGTTAACATATATAGAAAAGTTATATAGAACATTAATTCTAAAATTTGAAATCATAAAGAATAGTTTTTTAAAATTAGAACAAGTATAAGTGCCAGATGAATTCAAATAAAAAAAAACAAATTTAAATAGATTAATTACTTCATGAAATTTTGTAAACATTTGTCAAATTTTTTACAACTTAAAAATGACAAAAGCTCTGAAATAAAATTGTTTCAAAATTTAAATATTTTTTCTGGTAAAAAAAAATTAAGGAGAAATCATTCATGTAAAATTTCTTTCCAAATTTAATTTACTGGCATGCATTCTGTTTGCCAAATGATGATGTCCTATTTAGAAAGAATATATATTTAGTTATTCTAATAATCTGAGTGGAAAACATTTTCTGACTTTATATAATAGTATAGGTTTATCCTATAAACATATTTTATGATGCCTATAGCACTAAGAATGTCACAGATTATTTTTTGCTAACTAAAGTGTAATATTCTGTGTTTCTTTTATCTAATGTTATATTGAATCAACATTTAAGACAAGTTTTATCAGATTCCCATAGTTTTCTCGTGGATTGTGTCTGAAATGTCTACTTCCTACTGATTTTATTGAATCTCAATCTTTAGTATAGTTTTATATTTGATATTTTGGTATGAAGCTTGAGTAAAACAGCTAACTGTTTAACAGTGAAGGTAAGAGAAGTGAATTTGTCTTCTTTAGCTACTTGATTGGATAATTTACCCAAAAGATAAAGATGTGAATAAAGTAATAAAAGGTTTAATTTTCTTAAGAAATCCAAGCGATTTTGCTGTGTCAGTAATACTAATCAATTTTTCATCTTTGTTTTAAGTGTGAAGTCTATTACTACTATTTTTTTTTTTTTTTATTTTTTTTTGAGAGAGAGAATGAAAGGATGCTAATTTATGCGATATGAGGTTAGTATATAAGTCTAAGACTTAGAGTTTAAAAAATACCTTAATTGAATATCTATCTGTTAATTTAAATATTATAAAATCTAAATAATTAACTTAAGTTGTGTTATAGCATTCAAAAGTCAAAAGTCGTGTTAGGATTAATATGTATCTTTTCTTGTCAAATTATGAATATGTCAATCATGAACATATTCATAATTCAGACTATTAACAATACAACCATGTATGTATAGTTGTGAAGATATATATATCTTTTCTAAATTTAATATGATTAACAAATAGAGCACATTCAAAGTAAATCAAATCATGATTTCTTATTTCACCAAAAAAAGAATATCTAAATTTTAAAACAATTTTATTTTAGAACTTATTATAATATTGTTAATTTTATCAAAATACAAATTTTAAGTTGTAAAAAGTTTGACAAATAGCTACAAAATGCTACAAAGTTTTTTCTTTATTTAAATTCATCTGGTATTTATATTTATTCCAATTTAAACAAATTATTCTTTAAAACTTCAAATTTTAGAATTAGTGCTATATATAACTCTGTACTTTATATCAGTGGTTCTTAACCTTTTTATACTTGCAGCCCACCAAATATTTCATAATTTTTTTGTGACCCCATTTTTTTTAAAAATACAAAATTATTATAAACAAATATAAATTAATTCCTTGAACTCCTATGCTTATAAACCCATATTTGATATAATCACAATCATATTTTCTACTTTTAATGCTATTTAATTTTATACCTTCAGTTTTAGGACTTGTGGTTTTTTCCATTGCATTTTTCACTGTATCATTGTCAGAACTTTCACTAGTATTTTCTTCACTATATTTCTTTTTAAAGGTTCTGGTCCGCAATTACTTACATTAAAAAAATTTTCTAATGTTCCTTTCTGTTTTTTGCTCATTTTTATGGGTTAATTATAAATAATTAAAACTAAACACTAAGAAAAAAATGCACTATTATTCAATCCAAAGTTCATGCTAAAATGAAACTAAAACTAAAACACCCACAACTTGTCGTAAAGTTTTTGCATATCTTTTGCAAAAACATTTAAATTTTCAAAGCATACTACTAAGCCTACTATTTTTCTTAATTATTTTTAAAATTCCAAGCATTAATATTTTCTTAGAATTACTTTGGAATAAAAGAAGTAAATACTGCAATGTAAGTAACATATTTGCATTTATTTCTTCTGTACTAACAAAGTTGTATGTAGGAAGAGATAAGAAATAAATAAAAAAAAACTAAATATGAAAACTTTATCTTTCTTATTTCACTTCTCAATATGATATTCGGTTATACATCAATTTTCTTTTTATTATATTCTGAAGGAAATTTTGCATAATTTGGCAGCCCCCCTGTTAAGAAACACTGCTTTACATATTATGTGAGGGTAAAAATGGCTGCAATGAAACTGAAAAATGTTTATTTAATGAACATTAGCAATTTTATATATGCATAAGATTCATTTGAACTATTTTGTCATAAACAAGCTATTTCCACATAAAATATGTTAAGCTAAATACATACGAATATTAATATATTCAGCAATTGTAAATTCCACTGGCATGTGGTGACATTTGATGATAAGAAAGCTGTGGCAGCCATAGATAGAATCATTGGAAGTGTTATATGATATTTTGGTGTAAAGCATCCACGAGCTAAATCACGAGGTTGGTGCTCTGTAAAGCGCATGCACGAATGCGTGTAATCTGGCTGCTTTACAGGATTCAAATATTTTTGCCATGGAAGCTGTCCCATATTTGACAATACAGCGCTTCCATTGGAATATGCATATACAAATTTATATTTAAATATATAATAGCAATCTTATCATTAGCAGCCGGATGGCCGAGCGGTCAAGGTAGCAGCCTACTGCTCTGGGAGACCCAGGTTCAAATCTGAATGGGTCGAAAAAACCCTAAGAATTTTTTGGTGTGGTCCATTCAGATATGTCAGGCCCCATCCCTCACCACCCTCAGCCCCTTGTAGGCCTGGCCGAACCCATAATGGGCTTGCAAAAAGAGGCCCTCTTAGTGCCCACAGGGTGGAAAGAGTTAAAAAAACAATCTTATCATTGTTTTTCACATGTACAGAAATTTGTAATAAGATACATAATGCAGTTATAATAAAATATTATTTTTAATTAATTCAAAGTACGTTAAAATATGAAAATAATCGCACACTATGTATTTATATTTTAGAAAATACAAGGGAAGTGGTGCTTCCTCAGCTTCCATGGACAGCATGCCACTGGTAAATTCCTCAAAAAGTTTGTTTTTCTTTTTTTTTATTACTTTTTTTTATTATATTATATTGATTCTAAGGAGGAAGATCAAGTATGCATGAAAATACTAACTGAATCAAAATTTTAAGAATTCTCAAGAAAGACTAATTTTTTTATTACAGTATTGCAATGCATTAAATGTTTCAAATATTTTTAATATAAAAACTTAATATATTAAACTTACTCTTCAGCAACTTCACTTCCACTGCCTTCTGGATTAAATGACTCATCAGATTCATCTTCTGATGAGCCTTCTGCTCCTTCTCTTTGTCTTCCTTCATCCTTAACTCTTTGAAGATATGCATCAGGTTCATCTTCCATATCTGAATCAACAATTTCATCTTCCTTATATACAGGTTTTTCTTTAGACTAAAATTAAAAATCATATAAGATTTATAATAACTAAAATTACAAACTTAAAACCATTAAAAATATAGTTATCAATTTACTCTAAATAAGTTAGCTATTAAGTTTAAATAATATAAAACAGCTGACACTTATTTTTAATAATTTATAATTTCTGGTCATCATCAATAAAATTTTGGTTAGTTTATTTGTACAGATTATAATCTAACTATAGTCAATTTCATATATAACTTATGGTTTAATATCAATTGCATAAGATTACATCTAAATCTTATTACAAATATATGTTTCTTGCAGATTTATCATCATGAATTGTGATATATTTTCATTTTTTAATGTTCATGAAACTATCTGAAAAAATAAATCATTACCATAATGATTAATAAATTTTCTATGAAACAAAACTAAATTGTCAACTTTAGCTGGAGAAAGAAGCATATCTTTAAAATAAACCAAACCTAGTCAAAAATATGATGCTAAGTTACTGAAAAAAATATGTAAAATGGTCTATTCTTTTAAAACATGGACTTATCAGTCTAGCATGAAATAAATAAAATATAGAACAGTACAGGTTATTCAAAACAATAGAGCAGATTTTAAATTTTATTTCAAAAAAATTGCAAGGAATGGTAATATATTCTGCATTTCACTGAATAAAATAAGGTTCAACGTTTTAAAAGCTTTAAAATTTTGAACACACCAAACTGTTGTTTGAGGAATTCCAACTCAGTGCTTACCAGTGTCGTATATTTCCTAGGACTCCATTCAAACACACCTTGGACATGTTCAACATTTTCATCTGATGTGCAAGGATAACCAGTGCATTATCATTTGTATATGCAACCATGTATGTATTTTTATGCCACCATAAATTTGCTTATGACAAGGCAGCTGTTTGATGAATCAACAGTGGAAATTCCACTGTTGATCCATCAAACAGTTGCACTTCAATGGATTCACATTTTGCAAATTGCAGCACACAAAATGACTTCTATAGCATTGCCATTTTCCTATAAACAAGAAATAGTGCCACTGTGTGGCCTTGAATGGAACTTCTGGGCAAATTTTTAAAACTTTGAACCTTCCTCTATCTAGTGATGTGCAGAATGTAATTCCGTTCCTTACAGTTTGTTTTGAATATCCAAAATCTGCTCATCTTTTTGAACAACACTGTATTTCCCCCAGTTTAAAGCAAGCAGATTCAAATTAAAAAAGTTAGAAAGACTATTACTAGTAGTATAATAATAATTTTTAATATTTTGCAATATGATTTTTTGTATTGTATTGTATATAATTCTTAGAAATTATTATAGTACAAGAATCTTTGTTTTTAAATAAGTTTCTACAGATATTTGGGTATCTTACATTCAACATTAATAGGAAACCGTTATTTTTAATTCGGATAAATTAAGAAATTATAAGTAATTTTCAAATTGTTACTATGTAAATAAAGATACAAAACATAAGTGATTATAAAAATTAAAAAAATCAAACAAAAGCACATCATGGTTATTTTGAAAAAAAAAATTAACACCACAAATATTGAATGTGTCAGATTTTAAACATAAAAAATTTATTTATAAGCTCACCACTCCACTTGGTCCTCTATTTTTAATTCTAAGATCTTTGCTAGTGACAAAATCAAACAGTCTACTATATTCTTCTCTATAGACAAGAAAAAAGTGTAAAATATATAAAATCAAAATTGAGTCTATAAAATTGTTAAAATTTTACTTACTTTTCAATGCTACTAAATGTATGTACAACTCCATTTTTTGTTTCTATTTCAAAGTCAAAAGATCTAGTGCTTCCTCCACTTCTTGCAAAATTCACCCAGGCAACTTCATCAAATCGAATATGAACAGGAGGTTTATGTATGTAAATAAAACCTCTTTCAAGAGGGTATAGGAGTCCATTACCAGCACGATAAGAACATGTAATAGCATTTGTACCAGAATGCCTAATTGAAAAATGGTATTAAAATTTTTTAACATAACTAGAATTTACATATTTCAAATCATATTTCTTCCATAATCTTTTAAAAAGGACAAATATATAAATACTTAAAGCATAAACAATATTTTACATCTTACTTGCTATTATTAGTTATGAAAAAAATTAATCATGTTGTATGATATGTTCAAGAGTAACACTTTCATGTTAAAGTATTTTAACACAAAAGTTTAGAGATGAAAATTTTCTATTAAATTTAACAAAAATATATTTCTACATCATTTTCCTTTCGTCTAAATTAAAAAGTATTTATGCAAAGTCTGTACACAGTTTATTATTTAAAACAGTTCTGTTTGTAAAGCCATATAATTTATTATTTTTCCATTTAATCAAGCTTGCAAAAATTTATGATAATAAATCATTCAGAAATTAAGATACTTTACAAAAATTATTACAGTAGATTCAAATAAATAGGATAATTGATTAATTGAGGCAGCTATTTAGTTGGGACAAATTTAAAGACAAAACACAAATTAAGAAAATCAGAATTTATTTCAGTTATTTGGAACATCATACTATTAATCAGGATAGTGATGTGATCAAATCAAAAGATCATATATAGCACCAGTCATTGCTCACTCACAAAGATAACTGAAGTGTTAAAATCTATAATTGCATGTGTTACAAAAGCAAGATGCTCTGCATGATGAATGGTATTATGCTAACAACAACAGAAAAATTCCAAAAATAAAAGTCTGAAGACAAGGATCCAGAAAGTCTTCAATCAATGATTCTCTATCATAAATGGACAGAATGTGCACAAAAGTAATCCAATGCTAAAAATTAAATCAGAAAAATTTGCTAAAAACTGTATTTCAGTGATTTCAAAGCAACATATAGTTGTTATATCAGTATCAATAAATATTTAAACATAACATTAAATTCAAGAGAGTACATAACAAAAAGACAATGCTGATATTGCAAGTGTTAAACAATGAAAACCCACAAAATTGCCACACTTCCTTCAAAAATTTTGTATAGCTATTTACAATGCTGATGAAACAAGCCAGTTTTATCATGCCATGCTAAACAGATCTCTGAGCTACAAATTCTCAACACTGATAGATTTACTGTGAAAAAAAGAAATAGATCATATAAATGTATTATGCTGTTCAAACATACCAGAAAGTGATAGATGGAAGATTTTGATTATTGTAAAAAAATACCAAGTCTCAATACTTTTAGAGGCTTAGAATGAAGTTTAGCAGTTTCATATTATACTAAAAAGAATGCATGAATAATTTCTAAACTCCTACGAAATGGCTAATAAGTAGGGAAATGAAATTATAGCAGAAAATGAAGAATCAAAGTTCTAGTCATCTGTGTGGCATATTTTCATTTTGATTGTTGAAAACATTCATATGGAATTTGTCTCCAAAATTGCATTTTTGGTGCAGCAAAGAACACGAGTCAAGAAATTTAAAGACATTATCATAAAAATTTGGTAAACATCCTTATAACAATTAATATTTAATTCATATATTAAATTGAAATATTTAGAGCATAAACATTTCTTTGTTATTTGAATCATTGGTTCCAGAATTTAAGTATTTTATTTTTGTCAGTAAATAGTAGTTTATCTTTTGTTTTATATGATTAAGAGTTTATGAAAAATTTAATACTGTAATTGAGGCAGCCATTTATCTAGAATAAAAAAGCCCAATGTGACCCAATTAACCAAAGTCCATTGCAATTGAAATCAAAACTAAATTGTAAAGTAATTCAAAGAGTGACACTATATATTTTTAAAACTACTACTACATTACATTTTGTTTAAAATAGACATAAGATTAATAAACATTTTTAATGGTTCTTTTAATAGAAAATTAAATATGAAGTTAAAAACTCAACAAGAGTCATTTTGAAAATTAAATCTAGAATAAATAGACAAAAATATTAACCTTCAAAACAAAATTATTACAAAAATACAAATGAATTTTTAAGAATAGAAATGTTGATCTGGTGTTTGGTCAATATCACTAATATTAAAAGAAAATGAAAGCAAAATATCCAATAAATAAAGTTTGTTATAAAATTATTTTAGCATTCTTTAATCTGAAGTAGACATTATCTTTAAAATATTTAACATAAAATTTCTTAATTAATAATTAATATATAATTTTTTTACCATCAAAAAAATATATTAAATTTTACAATATCAAATATCATTTATAACAAAAAACAAATTTCTAATAATTATAGAAATTTCATACTGTATTCATTGCACTTACCCTTTAAATGAACCAGGTACAGTAATCTTCCTTTGAACAAGTACCTTCATTATTTGAGTAATAACTTCAAAAGTTCGACCACTCATTTCTTTTTGAAGTTTATCATCATATTTCTCTTTTATGTCTTCTCTATTAAAAATATTTTCAAAAAATAAGTAGCATTAACACAGATATTTAATAACTCTTAAGAACAATATCAATAAAAAATCAAATGAAAACTTTTAAATTTTAATTTTTAAATAAATATATATATAT